AACAAACAATATAATACAAATATACCAAGACAGCAGGGAATTAAGCAGTGAGCCTAAAAGGTAAAATCAGAAAAGGCAAAACAAGAAGACTTCTCTTATACAGAGTTTGCCACCTGATTCAATTATGTTCACAGCCAAAAAGTAATCTCTTGTTAACTCTAAAGTTAACTCCATTAAAGCTGTAGATCTTGCAAATATCCAACATGGTCAGCATCATCTTTTTCCATCCGGGGCCATTCCACGTTCCTCCAGAAAGTTCTCAGTAGGGACAAGAAAGAATATTGCTCTCCACTGATATCCCCAGTGTTCCACCAACAGGAACATAATCCCAGAGAATTGAAGAGTTTTAAACTGCCCTCTTCTCCAAGACTGCTGTAGGCTTGTTGTAAACCAGGGTAAAGAACCAGTACCATCTGGATTTTGTTGAATTCACCTGGCAGATGTTTCCCCAAAGGACATTCCACCCGTCTCCGTTGTGGATGAGGCTTGCTACGTCCTTGCTTGCATGGGGAATTGGGGGGGGGGGGACCCTCTGGATTCTGGGACATGCAAATACATTCTGTTCATATATTTATGTTTCTCCATGTATGTGTGGATGGATGAATGTACAATAGAGTTGAACAATCTGAACCTCCTAGGACTTTTCCAAAGGTTGGCACTAAAATAATTTAGAACATAACAGGAGAGAGGTTATTAAAAACATGAATATTCATTCCTGTATTTATTTAATGTAATTTTTGGCTCCCTCTGGCTCTATGAAGGAAGTACAGCTCCCCACCACATCATTCTAAAAGCAAGTTGAATTCCCCTCCCTCAAGTTGCATGTCCACATCTAGAGACCCGTCTGTTCAATTCACCTGTAACATAAACTAGAATGTACCCAGCAAACGCAAAGGTGACTGCCCAAAGGCAGGACTGGGCACATGCAAACAGCAGGAGCACAGCCATGCTTGGGCATGGGAACCAAAGGACACAGGAGGGGTAGGGTTCCTGAAACTGCAAGTTTTTGCAGAGTTTCTATATGATCCACAAATGTGACTCTGTGCTGGCCCCCTTTCCAGCGCTTGAGGTTCATGGCTTCTCTCTTCCTTGTCTCGGTGACTGCCCAGGCCTCCAGCCAGCTGCCCCGAAGTGCCAGCACCCCTCGTGGAGTCTTGCATGCATTTAGCCAGTCGCCCAAGTTGCAGAACGCCTCCGGTGTGGCCGTACTTGGTGGCAGGCAAGGTAAGCGTGCTCAGAGACCCATCGGCAAAGGAGGTGCTTACACTTGGAAGAAGACACCCGTCAACGCAGGTAGATGACTCGCTCTCGAGACTTCTTGTCTTTATCGCCGCTGGCCGCACTCCCTTGTCCGGCCAGCATTCTTTCTGAAAGAAAAAAAAAGAATCTCTGGGTGAAAAGGGTGTTTCTATTTATTTCTCTCCCTTCCTTTCTTTTCGGTGCATTTACTGTTTCAAAGCAATATGGATGTGCTAAGGCCTCCCTCCTCTGTTGTTTGAAATATTATACATATTCTGAGCAACTCCACGACTTCCTTGCAGTGGGATGTTGGGAAATCCCAGTGTCCTTTTGGTGGGTCTCTTAGGCCTGGCATACTTTTTTTAAAAAAATGCCCAACAGTGGTATGTTTTTATCAAGAGGCAGGCTCCCTTGCTTTTGCATTGTGGCTGGTATCATTTCACACCAAGTTTTTTTTTTTAATGGAAATCATATTATATATCAGTAGCCTTGAATGTAGAAGGAAATTCCCTTCTGATGCTCTCTCTGAATAGTTCTGGGTCTGTAGCAGAAATGGATCCAGCCACAACTGGGACTCCAGTTGTTGAACTACAACTGCCATCGGCCTAAGCCAACATGGTAAACATTCTAGTATGATGGGAGTTTTAGTCTGCCAATTCCCCAGCCTTTCTAGCTTGAAGGGCTCCTCCTGCAATGAAGTTCTCATAACTAAGTACTAAACATCTCATCTCTGGGCCTTGTTACAGGGATCTTTCCCACACCTCCCTTTCAGCCCGTATTCCTTTTCTGCCAAAAGTCAGGCACAACTTAATTTTTGTTTAATTATTCCTTCCTCCGTGTCCTCTTCTAGAATCTCCTAGTTAGCATATGGCATAAATAAAACTAGCAGTGTTTAAGTAAAAAGGACAGAAACTGAAACATTAAAAAACAAAAGGTAAAAGAGGGAAGGAGAGGAGAAAACATTTAATATAGTTCTGCAAAGCAGCAGGAGATTCCATTTTGGCTTAAGGAACCCAGTTGTTTTATCAGTCTCAACTGAGACATACAGTGGAGGGTAGGTTGTTCTGACCACAACAGAGCTCACCCTGGGGTGGTGTGATGAATTCCCTCTCTTGTTTTGAGATGCGGGAGGGCATTTGAAGACACCATTGCTTTGGGGAGTATCTCACCCAGGTTTCATTATTATTGTTGTTATTATTTTTAAATTTATTGTTTGAAGTCCTCTGTAAATGGGAGTTCTGTATTTTAATGGTGGGACAGACAGGCTTTAGGGAGACAAATGGTTCCCACCTCTACCCTTAAAATGCCCCCAAACTCCAAAATATGGCCTGAAATCAGTATTTTGAGCTCGTTTGGAGGCAACTGAGGATGGGGACGGTTTGCCTCCAGCTCCCATTCCCATCCTTAATTAATGGGGGAGGACCAAAAAGCTTATTGCCAACCTTCGACCATTTTGCCACTGGAATGGTGAGTGCCTGGGCCTACAGACAGGGTGGTAGAAGGATACAAGGAGGCCTCACAAGAAAGCGTCACATTGTGTCCTCAGCAGCCTCCTATTCAAAATTTCCTGCCTGCCAGCAGTTATTCCCTATGTCCTCTACCTCTCCTTCCAGCTGAGTTTCAGTCTTATATAGTGACAGAATGTGCTCAGTGCTCATGGGTCTGTTTTTGCTTTGGGCTTTTCTTCATCTATGTGTGTGTATTTGTAGTTTGATTAATTATATTGTACTTTTGCAAACCCTAAGATTTCCCCAAGCACATTTATTCTATTCTGGCTGTGTCCCCAAGAACTATGTCTTTTCCCAACCTGGCTGTTTCCCAGTGTTATTGGGAATGCAGTTCTATGGGGGAATTCTAAGACATGGCCATCTTGATACATCTGGGGAAGGCCAGTAAGGGAAGTGACTGTAAATCTTTACTGCCAAGTTTGCTATTAGAGGGGGAAACTGGTCATTTACCGGAGAGTTCGTTTCACTGCATTCTTTGTGTTCCCTCTCTCCAGGCGGGACATTGAACTTCGTTAATCCTAGTCTCACCGTGCACAAAACTTCCTCCTCGGCCGTAGATCGCCAGCGTGAATATCTCTTGGATATGATTCCTCCACGGTCCATCCCTCAGTCTGCCACGTGGAAATAACGCAGGAACCTCCGCCCTGAGTGGAAGACTTCAATTTTTCTATTTCGTCTTCTTGTTTTTTTCTTCCCACCCCTTTTGATTCTGCCCTCCTTTCCCCCGAAATCCCTCCACACAGTGGAAAAGCCGCTTTCAAGTCTAACTGGATCTGCCCGTGGGGTTTGTCAGAAGGCTTTTTTATTTTTTACTTTTTTTGCCAGCCCCATCAGGGGCCACATTGCTTCCTGCTGGATAGAATGGACGCTCGAAAGGGTGGTAATGAACGTTAGGCTACCAAATCCTTGCAACTTTTTTCTTGGCTGATGGTTGAGGCCATCTCTGAGGAAGATCTCAATTTAATATTATTATTTTCTCTGTGTATTTTGTCTCTTTAGTTTGGGGGTTATGTTTTTTTTTGTTTTGTTTTTTTGTGTTTTTTTGATCAGCTGCTTCTGGTCTCAGTCCCTTCCTTCCCTACATCCCTTCTTCTTTTTTTTAGTTACCTTAGCTGAATTTTCCTTTGGTTGATCATACAATAGTCCCTTGTGATCAAGGATGTACTTCACCTATTCACAGAAAGCAGAAGTGGGACCTGACAACAGTGAAAAAAAATCAGGAAAGGTGGACTGGCTTCCTCATTGGCCTTGTTTTCGCCCAAGGAGGCCCTTTTCTAAAGGAGAACAGGAGGGAGGGGTTGGGTGTTTGGTTTGCAGGTTTTGTTTTCTTTTCTTTTTAATCCAGTAATAACTTATATTACAAGCAAATGCAAACGGACTTGCCACCGCCAGAAGAAATGGAGCAACTGAACACAGGGCGTGCATCTTTTTGTTTCTGTTTCTGTTTTTTTTTTTTAATAGAATCTTGTTTCAGACAGATGTTCTGCCCTGGACATTTGATGGTTTAAAGAATTACTGGACAGTTTATATAAAACAGCTCTATTGAATCTCCTCAATCTGAACAGAATGAACAGTTTTTTTAAAAAAACAAAATAAGAAAAAATAGTCTAATGCTCCCAAAGAGAAAAGGGAGCAGTGTGGAGATGAATATTTTTTTTTTTCTTACAAAAAGCAACATCTGATTGAATCTCCCTCCCCCTTTTCATTTTTTTAGAAAGGTTTTTACTTGGCTATCTAAGAACAGTGTGCAATTTAGTTATGTGGAGCAGAAGGGACCAGAGAAGTAATCAGTTTTGTGTTTTAAAAAAGAAATAAATAAAAACAACACCATGAGACAAAGTCCACATCTCTCTTGCTACCAGTTGTTGTGGGGGAAAATGGCCTTCACAAAGGTGAACAGTTATAGATCTGGTGCCCTCCATATGTGTTGGATTTAGCTCCCATAATTCCCAGTCAGGAGCACAAGTAGAGGGTGTCTAGTGCAGAGAAAAACAGGCTGTCTGGCTTATAAGCACAACATGGGTACAAAAAGCTGTTGTCTCTGGTGTGTCCAATCTCATCCCTAGAAATGTAATTCCCCTTTGCTAGTAACATCTTGACTAATGTTTGCTTTAAATCGCACTTCCCCCCCGCTCCTCCCTGCCAAATTCAGTTCAATATGGAAGAATCATATTTGTTTTGTTTTCCCCCTTCTATCCCATTTTCTTATTTTTGTTGTAGAGGCAGAAGTACTGACCTTTCTATAACTATTCATAATAGCATATTGGTACTAGATTTAGTGCTGATATAAGAGTTCATTGCAAAAAATTATATATAAATAAATGCATATATAAATAAATAAATATATATATATATATATATATAAGACTATATATAAAGCAGGGTGGGAGGGGGTTAATACTGTGCAGTCAAACCTTTTTGGGGCCGGGGTCAGGTATTTTGTTAGCTACAAGTGAGATACCTAATTTAAGAACAGACCTACAAACAAATGTTGCTGTATCAGGGAGGGCTCCCTTTTCAATTATGGCTCTTGCATTGTAATAAAAAGTTCCTTCTAATTCCCCCTTTTTCCTGTTCTGTAAGCATGAGTATTTAGATTTAATGTTTTACAGTCTGGTGGATAGCAAGCATATAGGGTTTTTTTTTTTCTGTTCAAAGCTCTTCATACTGAATTTTAGTTGGTTTTTCGATGTTCATGGTGGGGTCTACTTTTGTTTGTACACCAAAGCTATTGCTTTACTCTCCACTCTCACCTCTGTTTGAATTTAGTGGGCTTTAAATGCATTCTGATTGATTTTTCACCCAAAATTAGGATATCTTAATTTACCATTTCTTTCTCTCGCACTTCAGTTCTGTAAAGAATTTGACGCCAGTATAAACAATTGGAGTTCTAGTCTCCTAAAGAACCCATGTCACTTCCAAATAACCCCAAGATTTCCCTGATTGGTCAAATAGACCTGAAACTGGTTTGAAGCTGTAGTGTAGACGTACTGTTAGATTTCTCTGGCATTTCCACAATTTTCACAATTCACATCGGTCTGCCTTAGACTTGATGTGAATCAGTGTTTGCCTTTCTGAAATTCCAGCCTTGCTGTTTGTGTAGGACCTGGATTACTTACAAATCCGAAAGGATTGGTTTGCCGTTGTGAAGTGTAAGCTGGAGCAGTTTGACCAACAGTGATAGACCTGAAAAAAAAGGAGAGGCGGAGGGTGGGGGTGGCAAAACCTGTGTTTCCAAAAGCCATTTCCTTTTAAAAAGATGAAAAACCCAGCCGTGTCAGAAAACTCTTGATCGGGTTGGAATTGTCCAGGAAATTTTGGAGGTCCAGAAAAATAAATCTTAACTTGAAGCAACTCCTGTGTTGGATCTTTTAAGCCTCATGTTGAGCTCACCAGACTTTGATACGTCATCACTTTGGGGATTATATTTTAAATATCACTAAGGTAGGCATCCAAAGGTGATCAAGGTGCCCTAGAAAACAAGGATTATTCTTCTGTGATGACTGCTAAGAAAAAGACAATGTTCATTTAATTTTGAGGAAACTTCAAATACAGCTGAACACTGTAAGCCAGTGTTTCTCC